TACAAGAGTGTCCCACAAGAGTGTCCCACAAGAGTGTCCTATAAGAGTGTCCCACAAGAGTGTCCCACAAGAGTGTCCCACAAGAGTGTCCTACAAGAGTGTCGCGTAAGAGTGTCCCACAAGAGTGTCCTGCAAGTGACCCACAAGAGTGTCCCACAAGAGTGTCCTATAAGAGTGTCCCACAAGGAGTGTCCTACAAGAGTGTCCCACAAGAGTTTCCTACAAGAGTGTCCTACAAGAGGAGTGTCCCACAAGAGTGTCCCGCAAGAGTGTCCTATAAGAGTGTCCCACAAGAGTGTCCCACAAGAGTGTCCCACAAGAGTGTCCTACAAAAGTATCCTACAAGAGTGTCCCACAAGAGTGTCCTACAAGAGTGTCATGTAAGAGTGTCCCACAAGAGTGTCCTGCAAGTGACCCACACAAGTGTTCTACAAGAGTGTCTCACAAGAGTGTCCCACAAGAGTGTCCTACAAGAGTGTCCCACAAGAGTGTCCCACAAGAGTGTCCTATAAGAGTGTCCCACAAAAGTGTCCTATAAGAGTGTCCCACAAGAGTGTCCTACAAGAGTGTCCCACAAGAGTTTCCTACAAGAGTGTCGCACAAGAGTGTGCTACAAGAGTGTCCTACAAGAGTGTCATTTGGACATATTGGTTTTTCGAACGTGTTTGCATTCGGGTTCGTGGGTTCCATCTTGTTTTTTCTAGACTCTATTTTTGTCAAAAAAACACGTTTTCTTTTAAATCCGTATTAAGTTCTAATTTTAAGGGCCCTGCCACAAAGAGAAAGAAAGAGAGAGAGAGAGAGAGAGAAAGAGCGCGACCCCTTAATGACAAACTTGACATCATCTATGACCCCTTTCCATGATACGTACGTAGAGCAAAAGCTTCAGTTTGCTTAAATCTGTTTCAAAAAAACTGTCCCCAACCTGTCCTCTCGGGTGGTCTGAAACTGGTCTGAAACCCTTTAGAAGTCCCATCGCAGCCTTCAACTTTGAGCCTCCCTCCCTCCTTCCCTCACTCCCTCCCTCCCCCCTCCCCTCATCTCAGATTCTTGAGCATTGTACCATGATAGAACACTATGCAACATCCGTGGTTCCCCTTTGCTTCCAAAAAGGTTCAGAACTTACATTTTTGGTTCAAAAACCTGAAGTTCCGAACCGTCAGCACAAAACGCATGCGGAGCTGCAACAGTGATATGGTCACTGATGGTCACCGGAAGTTATTGGAGAACATGGAGTGGATGCATGAAGAGGAGTTTTTAATTTGGTACCACTACGGCCGAAATTAGGTACTATTGGACGCGCCGAATTACGACCATAATGGTACCGAATTAGAAGCGAGCCTTCATGATCCTGTAGACCCCCGTACGTATCTCACTTACAGACCCCACATGGAATGACGCGGCACAAGGGATCAAACATCCGCTTTTAGACAATGACCCTTGGATTTCCAGGGTGCAGGTGTAAAATGACAAACTTGACATCATCTATGACCCCTTTCCATGATACGTACGTAGAGCAAAAGCTTCAGTTTGCTTAAATCTGTTTCAAAAAAACTGTCCCCAACCTGTCCTCTCGGGTGGTCTGAAACTGGTCTGAAACCCTTTATCGCAGCCTTCAACTTTGAGCCTCCCTCCCTCCTTCCCTCCCTCCCTCCCTCCCCTCATCTCAGATTCTTGAGCATTGTACCATGATAGAACATTATACAACATCCGTGGTTCCACTTTGCCTCCAAAAAGGTTCAGAACTTACATTTTTGGTTCAAAAACCTGAAGTTCCGAACCGTCAGCACAAAACGCATGTGGAGCTGCAAAAGTGATATGGTCACTGATGGTCACCGGAAGTTATTGGAGAACATGGAGTGGATGCATGAAGAGGAGTTTTTAATTTGGTACCACTACGGCCGCAATTAGGTACTATTGGACGCACCGAATTACGTCCATAATGGTACCGAATTAAAGCGAGCCTTCACTATCCTGTAGACCCCCGTACGTATCTCACTTACAGACCCCACATGGAATGACGCGGCACAAGGGCCGCATTGTTTAATCTTGCGATCAAACATCCGCTTTTAGACAATGACCCTTGGATTTCCAGGGTGCAGATGTAAAATGACAAACTTGACATCATCTATGACCCCTTTCCATGATCCATGATACGTACGTAGAGCAAAAGCTTCAGTTTGTTTAAATCTGTTTCAAAAACCTCTCGGGTGGTCTGAAACTGGTCTAAAGCCCTTTAGAAGTCCCATCGCAGCCTTCAACTTTGAGCCTCCCTCCCTCCCTCCCTCCCCTCATCTCAGATTCTTGAGCATTGTACCATGATAGAACATTATACAACATCCGGGGATACGGGTCGAAGAAGTCGAAAACCATGCGCATAGCGATGCGGTTGAGCGATTTAGAGCTCGAGGGAGAGCGATTTAGAGCTCGAAGAAGGGTTGGCAGGGAGAAAATAGAATAAGAAACCTTATTTAGAGTCTACCTGCTAGCCACATTTCTTAATTAAAAGGTTATAGTTAAGAAATAATCTAGAGTCTACTCTAAAAAAGCGTCTTTCTTAACAGAGTCATCAGCCGTAGGAGATCTGATAATTACATTGTCTGCAGACTGTTTCTGAAACTTTTGGGTGAGTGTCTTCATTTTGAGCATTCTTGCTCAGACCACTTGCCAGGCTTTTGAATTCAGACCGGGTCGCGGACACCAGCTGCCACCAACTTTGACATCAGTTCCTACACACCACCGCCGTCATCACCGCCGTCATCACCGCCGTCATCACCGCTGTCATCACCGCCGTCGTCACCGCCGTCGTCACCGCCGTCATCACCGCCGTCGTCACCACCATCGTCCCCTCCGAAGCCATCGTCCCCTCCATAGCTATCGCCCCCTCCGTAGCCGCCATCATCGCCATAGCCCCCAAAGCCATCATCGCCATAGCCCCCAAAGCCATCATCGCCATAGCCCCCAAAGCCGTCGTCACCAAAGCCATCGTCACCAAAGCCATCGTCACCACCGTCACCAGCTCCGATCAAGTTGTTGTAGTCCTGACAAAGGTCCAAGTGGTTGGGCACATTTGTGGGCACTCGTCATGAGAGTTGTTCTCATGATGGGTGAACACATGCGAACCGATACAGGTAGGACTGTGAGGCAAGAACCGCTACAGACCGGCTTCGGATCCGCGAAAGCCTCCAAACGACCTCTCACCATACCCCAAACGACCGGTCCGGTTTCACTCGTCCGTTTCACTCGCGGTCGCGGCGGTCTCGTCCCTCATCCTCCGTGAGATAGAGCTGTGTCAAGGTCTCGTTGAAGGTCACAAAGTCGATGGTGAGGTTGGAGGTATTGTACTTGGGTCCAACACGGCCGTGTGAAGGCGTCTTCGGCGGCTTTTGGGAAAACACACGCTTTTTGGAAAAGAAGAGGCTTCTGAGATCTGATATGATCTGACATGCAATTTTAGTAGTGGAGCCCCATATAAACATACATACCAAGGATGTGCCAGTGCCATCGAACCTCTGAAACCACAGTAACAGGAGATGTTCAGTGATGAGCTTGGTTAGTTTGAGGCGGGGACAACGTGACAAACGCATGCTACTGTTCAGCTCCTCTCACTGTTTCTTTCACGAATCTGACAGCGACAAATGCGACAAATTAGTTTAATGAGTTTCATTCAGTCGGACGTTGAGATGGTACTCTTCGATCAAATCATGAGAAGCAGTTTTGAACGCTATGATCTTCTTTATTTCAACATCTATATTGGGTTGGTTGCTTGTGCGTGCGTATTTCTTTTAGTAGTATTACAGTTTGTAGTAGTATTATATTGTAGATAATACATGACAATATTTTATTAAATACTCAGGGAATGAGCTTGTATCTTTCAACAGCACGGTTTTTCCCCGCGGACTCAATAAAAGAGCACGGTATATACCCGCGTTTTGTGTGCTGCTGGATTCAAGGACCCACTACACAACGCGGCCAGGCTTGGCAGCCAGGCGTCTGCCTTGCGGTAGGTGTCATTCAAAATGGATGCAAAGTTGCCGGTGGAGGCGAGCAACTGGTCCCGGAAAAGGGTCGTAGGTACGTGGCTGTAAGTGAACTTCACTGTCCTCAGTATACAGATCCGTCAGGCTGAGACTGAGCGAGTGGCAAAAGGCTCGTCGTGGCACCCCAAGTCGCACATGTTCTCTGGTGTCTTCTCACCCATGTCCTTTGAGAACAAGCTAGTAGTAAGGCCAGGAGCCCCGTTCGTAGCGTCCGATCGCTCCGTTCGTAGCGATGCCCTTTGCTCCTAGTAGCTTCCTCTAATATCAACTACAAAGAGGAAGTTTGCGATGCTGGTGCCGTTTCGCAGCGCTCCGTACGAAACGGACGGGTCGTTTTCAGGGGTGTTTCTCCATCGATGAACATCCCGGGAGGTCTTTTTCGGGCACCATTCGTTGTGTTCGAACGAAGGATGTGGGGTCACATTTGGTCACAGAGATTACCTGAATAGAAGGACATGACAGTCGACATCTGATTAAGAACTTCAAACTGAACATGCCACAGCCTTTGATTCATGCTTGTTATCCTTTGGGTGGATGGGACCTAGAGGAGGCCTATGCACGAATTGAATGCCACATACGACATGACATATTTTTCGAAGAGGCTGGGGTTACTCAACAATGATCATTTTAGGACAAAAGGACAATTGGCAAGGAACACCAGCCAGTTTTCAAAACAACTGGTTGAGTGAGTTGACTTGACGTCCATAGCTGAGTGTTGAAGTCTTGCGCCCATCTTGCCGACCCACGACGCATTTTGGACGGTCCATGACGGAGTCAACGCGCACCGGTCGAGCCCCAAACCATCCCAAACGGCACCGGTCGCTGTACACCTGGCGACTTGGACCCGATGCCGGTGACCGATGCCGGTGATGTGAGGGGCCACCACGGTGTGGTGAATTCGCCCCGAGAAACACCCGCGCGAGAGACGGCCAATGCCCGGGCACACATTCGTCTGGTTGGGGATCAACTTGACATCCCAGAAGGGTTCCACCATTTCGAAGGAGGGGTACAACTCCGCGATCAGCAGACCTGCGAGTCTGCGCTTCTTCGCTTTGCTTTCAGATTGGTCCACTGGTTTTGAGACGCCCTATATAGTGGTTTCAGTGTTTTCTTCTGGGCCCAGTCATGCCAAATGCAAAGCCAGCTGGTCTTGATTACCACCCCCAAAGTGCCCGTTTGCATACACCCCCACTAATCCATGCAGAAAATAGTTGGCTATATATAAGATACTTATACGGCTACATTAAAGCCCAGGAACCATTACAATGTATGTTCAATGTAATAGTACTATGCTTACATCCAAGCATCTATGTTCAATGTTCAATGTTTCATAATGTTTCAATGTATGTAATACTTATGCATACTTATGCTTATTCCGTAGATGGCATTCCGGATTTTCATGTCGTTGGCATCCTCGAATCTTACCCTGCTGTTGTTCCACCCAACCTTCCGAGCCCTTCGCAAGCCTGCAAGAAAGTCGAAGTCACTTCAGCAGGTCACCACTCTAGACCCAGCTCTTCATAGCGAATGTACCTCCCTGGCCTACCCCTTGTTTTCTTTGCCAGCTACCAGGGCTTGGCCTGGACCCTCCGGTAGGTAGAGAAAAAAGAACGCCTCCAAAGGCTGGACGTCTTTGGGGAGACCTTTCTTCAGCACACTCTGCTGGAGGAGTGTGCTTGGATATGAACAATTAATGGATGTCCTACATCTTCCGTCCAACATCGTCCGCGAGCCAACATCGGTCCGCTCCGACGGACCAGCGAGTCTCACCACAGCGACCTCTCACCACGCCTCCGCTGATCGTCTGGAAGGTCGATGAAAGGTGATCTTGCATGAGCCACTTAGATGGTCGGTGACATGGAAGAAGTGGGCCACGAATGACGTTCGGTGTCCATGCGTTGGGGAAAACGAAGGTTCTGTTCTTTCTCATACATATCTGAATGATTGTGGAACTACACCATTGGCTAAGTTTCTATTGTTTCAATCCCAAAAAAAATATTGAATTCAGTAACATGGTTCGCATAAGTTCACCCACACACACACACACAAGCACGCATGTGCAATCATGAGGCAAAGTCGTCAGGAAGATTAGTGCCAGCATTAACTGTCATGATGAAGGATCCATAGAGCACCAAGCAGTTCTCCGACGTTCCACAGAGATTAAATGCTTTGCCTCAGCCGTTTGGCTTCGTACATAACTGAAGCGAGTGGCTGGACCAAGCGGAAACCTGATGTGGAAGACAGCACTGGCAAGGGGGGGTGGGTCGGGTGATACCATTTGCCACTCTGTAGATCTAGATTCAAAAGCCTAAATTGAACACAGGCGACAAGGGACCCCTCTCGACCTCACTGCAAAGTTGAAGTGATCAACTAGGGCTCAGGGTACATTGCGTCGGTAACCGGTTTTTTTTGCGACGGTACCTGTGCAGCATGTTTTTTGCGTCGGTAGTCCTGGAAGTGTTTTTTTGCGGTGGTTGGGGGTTGTCTTTTGCCACGGTAAGTCATGTTAATTGCAACGGCAGGCCGTGCTTTTTTGACACGGTTGTGTTTTTTGCGTCGGTAAGCGGTGTCATTTGCGACGGCTGGCGGGACAAAGCATGTCTGCTGAGTACGGTTGGAAAAAACACGCGCGCCGAACTGATTCAAAAACCCAACTGTCGCAAAAAAACGTGCCCTGTACCGACGCAGAAAACGCAACTGTTGCAACAACAACAACAACAAACCACAACAACCACAACCACAACCACAACCACCACCGCCACAACAACAACAACAACCACCACCAACAACAACAACAACAACAACCACAACAACCCAATAACAAAGCACGCACTGCGGGGGGACAAGAACAACAACCCAATAACAAAGCACGCACTGCGGAGGGAGGCGCTGCGCCCTCCCCCCTGCACCCCCCCAGCTGCTCAACAAAAACAACATCACCAACCAACAAGCAAACCCTAATAACAAAGCTAACGACTACAAGAACTACAACAACCCAATAACAAAGCACGCACTGTGGGGGGGAGGCGCTGCGCCTCCCCCCTGCACCCCCCACCCGCCCAACAAAAACAACAACAAGAGCACCAGCAACCAACAAGCAAACCCCAATAACAAAGCAAACAACAACAACAACAACAACAACAACAACACCAGCAGCAGCAGCAGCAACAGCAACAACAGCAACAACAGCAACAACAACAACAACAACAACCCAATTACAAAGCAACCACCACCACAACCACCACCACCGCCACCACCACCAACAACAACAACCCAATAACAAAGCACGCACTGCGGGGGGACCCCCCACCCGCTCAACAACAACACCAGCAACCAACAAGCAAACCCCAATAACCACAACCACAACCACAACCGCAACTACTAGCTAGTACTAGTACTAGTAGTAGAAGTAGTAGTACTACTACTGCTACTGCTACTGCTACTGCTACTACTGCTACTACTACTACTACTACTACTGCTACTGCCTGTGGCTGTTACCACTGTCCAAAAGACGTAGCCGTCGCAAAAAACATGCTCTACCGAAGCAAAAAACGCAACTGTTGCAAAAAGCGCGCCTGCACCGACGCAGAAAACGCAACTGTTGCAAAAAACGCGCCTTACTGTTTGGAATGACACCACTGTCTGGAAATACCCCGCTTACTGTTGCAATAAACGCGCCCCCCCGATCAACTAATCCCACCAAACTATAGATTGTATTCAGCTCCTAGCAGGCCAGTGGCAGGCCAGCACAAGCAACTCCAATTCCCAATATATAGAAATTGTGTTGGAGTGACTCTTGCCACGGAATGGTTTGTCTGGGTCAGTGGCGCCGTCCCAGCACTGCAATATGGGACCGGCAATTGAATTGGACAAAACAGAATCGGTTCACATCATGCAAACAGGGTGTCGCAACTACGCACATGCTAGCCAAACTCCCATACCCCCATGAAAAAAACAAAATGGTGTCTTCCTGTCACGCAGTCCGATCTGCATCTACCATGTGCAGCCCCAAAGCAATTACAGAACCAGGCCATGCAACACGCTCACACACCATCCTCGCATGCAACTGACACTGACAGCACGTAAAAGCCTCCTTTGGAACCATGGAACATCTGAGCACAAACCCATAACAACAAGATCCCAAATCTCAAGGAATGAACTCTGCAGCTGAACACAGCCTTAGTTCATAGCTGTCAAACAGCTTCAGTGTTGTGAACATGAAACACACTCTGCACCCAAAACCCCTGGACCATCCCGCCCATACCGTGGATCACAACAAATCATTGGTACTCAGAACGAGTCATGGGAATCACTGAAGATTCGAGGTGCAATTCTGCACTGGATGACCCTTGTCGAAGAGGCCCCAAGTCTCACCTTGGCACACGCAGTTCCACACACTCCTTGGGCGGTGGATGGTCTATTGAGATCTATTGAGTCTATTGTGGACCGTCATTTGGGGTTGACTTGTGTGGCTGATTATTTCAATTGGCCTCGAGTAAAGGGTAGGCTTTTCTATTCTACCTCTTTCTACCCAAGACTCAAGCAAGGACCAAACATGGGCGCACTATTTGTTTGAAGCAAACACATCATCATGTTCCCCTTGGGTCGAGGTTGCGACATCCCCATCTCATCCCCAATGCCTGAGTCCTTCTCCCCTCTGCCAGCACTGCAGCAAACACTCTTTGTAGTCAAGACACACATAATCTCGTAGGTGGACATCTCGCTGTTGCACCCATCATCCCACAATCGCCCGGGCCTCGTGACGATCGAGAACCCGCCCTGTGCCTCATCGTCAGTGCCAGTTGTCTACCCTGTGTTGGCAGAGATTCAGTGGGAAGAGCATGATCTCAAAGTCTCTCAAAGTATGTAAAGGTACCATTTCAGAAGCCTTGGGGCCTTGCCTTGACTTTGATGAGTTCGTTTGATGTGCCCAATGATTGGTACAGTCCGACGTATTCGGAGCGACGTGGGCTGTTCGAAGCGACGTGCGAAACGACGCTTCGTCCAAACCGACGAACACGTCACCGGCGGCTGTCGTCACTGAGCGACACCCAACTGGCGGCTGCCGACCGAACAGTTTTTTACAAAAAAGAAAAGCATAGAGCAGAAGGGAACCCCGGCTGGAGCGTTGAGTAGAACTGCACGTCTTGTAGTTCGCGGGTTTTGTTGAGTTGTTCCATGTTTGATTCTGTCTCTTCGAAGTACTTTTCTTGTTGGCTGATGGTCCTTTTCAAGGAAGAGCTGAGCAGACACACGTAGATAGACCCCACACCTAGTGGGGTAGACCTTCCAACAAGTAGATCCCCGACTCTTTCGGGGACCTTCCTACCACCCCAGAACATGTGTTTTTTCATGTTATTCTTTTGTTGTTTTAACTAGTTGTTCATGTTATTCTTGTTGTTTTTCACGTTAACATGATTAACATGTGTTTTTTCATGTTTTCGAACTTGATGTTGTGCTCACACACCTTGACTAGTTCCTGTGCTCTGTAGTTTGACTATCTTGCTTGCGAGTTTCTTATTCAGCACGTCCTTTTGTTAAATTGGTTTGCCTGAACCTCAACCTTGATTTCTTTTGTTTTCTCTAGATTCTCACCTCTTCTTCACACCTTTGGCTTTTGTCTTGATCACAGGCTTCTCAGACCCTGCCCATAATAGTATAATGCGCGCATTTGCACAATCAGAGTCTTATCAAAGGAGAGAACTGCACCAAGGAGAATGGTATGATACCAAATACGGGAGATTTCCAGAGAAGGTAGGACCGCTTGTATCTCAGGTGTAGGATCTACGATGGAACATGTGTGTTTTTTCTCGGTAAATGCACTGACTTATGCCTTTGGAATAACCATTATTGGACCCCAAGTCGAAGGAGCGACATACAACCAATTCCGACCCAATTCCCAATTTGCAAGCCAAATCTTCTTTCATGACATGGGCTTGTCTGCGTCAAACAATCAAACGCAAGGCACTGACACCGCCTCTCAGACTCTTAGTTATTCTGTGGTGCTTGAAACCCATTTGGCAGTGACATGCTCTAGCAAATCTTGAATTTGGGCCATGGCTCACCCATGGCTGCCCACATTAACATATATTCCACATTGCTTGAGGTCTCTAGGGGATTGAACGAGGATAGTAAGTAAACCAGGCCAGCCCTTCAGAGCTCCTTTTCAGGTTGTGGCTGTGGAAAAGCACCTGGAAACTCATAAGCCCGCACCACTCTCATGGGCCCCTGTCGCCCCAACCTGTCTACTTCCAAGGCACGGGAGATTGCCATCGCATTTGGCCGACAGCCAGCTCCAAACCTGGTTTGGCAGCAAATCAATCCATGCAAGTCAGGACAGACCTTGCTTTGAGTCTGAGTTTGGATAGTTGTCCAACGAGTTAGGAGTAAATCTCCATGACACCACATGGGATCTCATCGTGACAATCAGCTCGGCCGCCACTCATTCTGCGCATTCGAAGAAGTTGATTCTTGCGGGTGCTGGATGGAGCTTAGACCATCATGGTTCTCTTGGTGTCTAAGTGGCATTGTGACGGCAGGTGAGTGTCTAGTGTCTGGTGTCAAAGGATTCTTGTTGCAGTTGATACTCGATTGGACGCTCAGGTGTTTTTTTGGAATGTGTACTTGGTGGGGACACGAATGAATGAAATTGAGAGCATCAAAGGGAGGCCACGTATCAAATTGCATAAAGGTTGCGTTAAATACACATGTCATGTGCTGCCTTTGTGAACATAGCCCCACAAGGCCCCACAAGGCTCAAGAAACTCTCTTGGTCCACAAATGTTTCACGAAAAGAAAACGGCTGCAAGAATGGTGGAATCATTTTGCAACAAACAAACCAGCTCCAATGCCCACAAACTGAGAAATACAGAGCAGTTATGGTTTTGCTATCATCAACTTCCACAGAAGACCTCAGTTTGGAGTTAGTCACCCACAAGGTATGGAGCTCCAAAAGCAAGGCACACTTCCGCTACCATGTGCGCTTGGGCTTATGCACGGTTGTGCGAAGAAGTCCGTTGACACACACACACACACACATGTTGCAACCTTGTCATGAAATCTAGCCTCGTGCAGGGGTATCTAGGGGTTTTAAACAAATCAGAGAGGACTTTCCATTCAAAGCGTCCCAGGGTGCAGCAAACATGGATCCACATGGGTGGACACAGGAAAATCCCAATGTATAGAATCGGACAACAAATCCATGTCGGTCTCAGACAAGCTGGGCTCACCTGAAACAAGCTCAGCAATGTCCCACGGTTGCAGTCTCATAGTTAGTACATGTTAATGCTTAATTTAATTTGCACACCTTAAACCAAACCAAGCAGCGTTTGAAAACCAAACTACAAAAACATACAAAGACCAAGTCTGACACCAAGTCAGCAGTGGACACCTTTTCCGGTTCCACGACTGACCATCTTCAACCCACCCAACGTTCCAACCTTCAGACCTTTTCGAGACAAGTCCTGAGCTGGTGAAACCAACCAAGGCGCACAATACTCTCCGATCTGGGGTTGAGCACAGCCTTAGATGAAAACGTGTCGGGGCTAGAAATCGGTGATCTATTTATCTGAGATTGAGATAGTGTGTTTCTACTATTTGATTTTTTGATATATATATATATATGTCTTTTTTTACATGTGCAACTTGGCACCTGCAACACACTGCCTGGCCCTTTCCAGAATGATTTGCATAGATCACCGGTCTTGCACGGTGGAAAGGGTATCATCACCCACCAGGCCCACGACAAAAGTCTCAACAAAGTCACTGCTGGAAAAGACTCTCGTCTATGGCCCTTTGTAGATCTTCAGAAGGCAAGTGTCTCCTCATGCTATATATACTAAGTCACACTAAGTCCGACCTTCCAGAAAGCGAGATGTCCCACCCCAAAAACACCATGGAACTGGTTCCGGCTTCGGCGCCCACCGCCTGGAACTTCCTTCACACCTCCGGTCTTCGGCTCAGACCGACCGGTCGGTCCTCGACCCAACCTCCCTTTCGCCCAGCTGCTTCCTTTGGAGACATTGAGACGAGGGCAATCCGGCGGCAGCGAGGAGGCCGGCAGCCCCGCCGTCACCTGACGTGGACCGTCCCGGACCGGATCGGTGTCGACCCGTGGGCCGAGGTCGGGTTCGACCGTGGGCGAAGGATATGAAGACGTGGGCGTGGTGGTTTGATCAGTGCATGACATGCGGATGGCATGTCGTGGGTGTCACCTGGTGGATGGCGATCCGGGAAGAGAATCGATGGATGGAGGTAGGCTCAATGATGACGGTGCCTCAAAAATGGCATCCTCGTCCTAATCTTGTGACTGGATGATCCCAAACAGCAAGGGATCAACAGGTAAACATGTACAAACAAATCAAACGAGAAGCTCAGCAATGAGAGACTCCAATTAGACTCAGGAATCTTAAACCATCTCAAAAAACAACTTGTTTGAGTTCATTTTTGAGTAACGGAATCTCATTTGAATGACAATACTCAAATCAAACCCAAAACAAACTCAAAAACAAGCCACCAGAAACCTCCCAGGATACTTCTGAGTTGTTTGCTGAGAGTGAGTCTTGAATTTTACGTTGAGCATTGCTTTACTTTGTTCTGAGTGTATGCTTTATTTACGTCAGTTTTGAGCCGATTTGGGTTGAGTTGATTTTGAGTAATGTTGATATTGTATGTGTCGATTTCAGCTTCATCTCCATTGATGAAGTCACAGTTCAACTCTAACAAGGCACAAAGCGCCTGGCTACACCAAACCAGAAATCATAATCATGTTCAGCAGGGCATGCCGCAACATGCCGAAACACTTAGGTAACTAGCCCCGAAACACCGACTTCGGTGCCTCCTCAGGTGTCTAAGTCTAGCTTGGAAGCACCACAGGATTCCACATGTATTGAAAGGTCTGTGACGCCAAGATTAACTCAATATGGTTACCAAACAAAATGGACATCAACATGCATTTGGGCCCTCACTTAGGATACTTAGAGGGTTCAATCCCTGTAAAGGCCGCCCTTTTCATGTGCTCGCCACTTCCTGTCCTGCAGAGCACAGATCCTATGCCCATCTGGATCGCAAAGCACATGTGAACTATTGGAAGACTTGTTGACTGCGGGGCAACAGCCAGGAGGCAAACAAACAGCAAGTGGAATTGCGGTGCATTTTGGCAAAGTTCAAGCAAGCACGCACGCAAGCAAGCTTGCTAGAAAGTAACAAGCATAACAAAACATCCAGGCACTATGACAAAGAGCGAGTCAAAGCATGTCAAAAACATGCCGTGCAAACTCGCTGGTCACACGCTCATCAATCGTCCTGGCGCCCCCCTGGCGGCTAGGTGCGCATGGGGGGCTCGCATGTGCCAGGAAAAACCGCCAGGACTCTCTCCCTGACTCGCCAGCTCTCGCATGTTCGGGGTTCGCCGAGTCACCGAAGGAGGCAGGCTATTCTTGAACATCTCAGGAATCGGTATGCAAGCCCGGTCCCCTTCTTCTTTCCTGAGACCCGACGCGGACGCGGGTTGGCCGGCCGGTGTACGGTCTTCAACGGTCGGGCCTACGGGGCGACACGGTCAGTTCCGTCGGTGTTTTGCTTGAAAAACTCGAAGAACTGCACGATCAACCAGTGAGAAATCTCGATTTGTTTGGAGAGATGTGGAGAATGAAGGAGTTGAGTTCGGAGTTTGGTGACTTCAAGGGGAGGTTTTGTTGCATTCTGTTCTGAGAAGGGTTCTATAGTCGATATTCTAAAAAAACTCTATTATTCTATAATAAATGCAACTAGAATATGTCGATATCAAAGAGAATTGGGAGGTTGGAGGCCATCGTTACTAGGGTGGAGGCCATCGCAAGTTTGTTTGTGGAGAAATGTGGAGAATGAAGGAGTTCGGAGTTTGGTGACTTGTTCAATGGGGAGGTATTGTTACAGGAATTGAATATCGAAATTCTATGAAATTCTATATAGATGTCTGTAAGTACGCCGTACGCATGCAAACTATAGAATCTAGAATATGTTGATATCAAAAAAAAATGTGCACTTGCCTTTGTCCAAGTGTTTCTTGCCCCACATACTTATATGTAATATACAGTGTATATATATAATATATATATATATGGGCCATGGGTCGGTCTGTGGTGCTCTATACAAGCAAAACCTTCCAAGCTGCTACCCGTTCCGAGTGTGGCCGTGCTGCGTCAACGGGAGAAGGCACGTCCCAAAACATCTGTCTCGTCCGTGTCGTCCGTGTCCTCTTCTCACGTCCGCCAAGCTGCTGTGGTTCCAGCATCTCCCCGTCCGCGCACTGGGGAGAGAAGAAGTGGTTGAACGCAAATTCCAGGACCTCAAAACGGCCAGAACAAGAGGCTCGAACCACGAGAACCATCCCTGTGACAGGATGTGTTTGGGCCAGCGGTGTGTTTGGGCCGGTGCTTCTTTCGGCTTTGGCCAGGCCGAAGCCTTCACTCAACCTCCCAACAAGTGGAGTGTCTCCATCCGCCTGGACGGGGAAAGCGGAAAGAGATGACCAGGACACCTCAGGATGGCTAGCCAAGTCCCAAAGAATGACGATGGTGAGATGACGATGTTTGATGAGTCAAGCGTTCTCACGGCTGTAGAATTCCCTAATGAGTTAATTGGGTGACTTATCTTGTCCCCTATTGAATACAGAAAGCCAACAACTCAATCGTGCTTCATCACAGTGGCCGAACTGAGAACTTGCACAAGCTCTATGCCCTACACACCTTGGTTCAGTGCAAACAGACTCCTGATATCATGTGATGCAAATCTCCATAAATATCCAAAGTCGAGTCGGGATCCGGTCATGGAGTTGAATGCGTTGAATGGAGTGAGAAAAACGGAACGGTGGTGGCTGGCCTCAGGATGGGGAGTCATCGCATGACCCAAATGTGAACCCAATACACTCCCAAAAACTAACATAGACCCTGACAATGGCCCCATGGAAGAGTATTTTCCTCTACCAACCAGTGGTTTTCAGGGTCCATGATAGTCTTCCAGGGTGTATCACCTCTTCAAAGACCAGGTTTGGCCTGGGGATCCATCAGGCGACTTACAAACCTTCCAGGTGTGCATGGCATGGCGCCGTCCAAGTGATATTGGGCTCTGGAGCCAATGGAGGGTGACAATCCAAGTCTTTGAGAAAGACCCGGCTTCTGATGCTTCTGTTGGTAGGAATGACACGAAATCGGAGAAGACACCATACCCCTAAGCTTATCATGCTTATCTAAACCTCATGGACTCTCACCCAAACAAGACGCAGCTTTCTTGCGTTTTGCATCATAGTCGATACCTCGGTAGGCACAGGTATTAGCGAGCAAAACGACTTTGAGATCCCATCAACCTTCGGAGTACTCTTCGAGAATACCATCCTTTGCCAAGTTTGTGTCACAGTCGATCGTTTGCGAAAACGACGCCGTACCGTACACAGAAACACAAACACAGCTATCATCACACATCCACGATTGACTCACAGACACCAACACGAGAGTGGGGTGATATCCAATTGTCCATGCGACCGGACAGCACCGGAAGGGTATCTGCGACCATCACCGTCATACTTTCCACGATTCTTCCACCGCCACGATGAGCATCATGATCAATTAGCATTGTTCATTGATCAAAAGCACGCGCATGCACACGCACCCTGAACGTTTCTCCCTTCAATGCCTATCATGCCATCACCAAGCTCCGACGAGAGCAACGACGGTTCCCATCGGACGCGGCCGACACGGTCAGAGCATCCAACCATACCCCCTGCAGAGGACCGCATGGACCCCAAACCACGTCGGGTTGGTCTTCGTTTGTATTCCATGGGTGCATTCGGAACAGGGTCCATGTGGTCCATTTGCCGGAAGGGGGGGTGGTGGTTTCCCGGAACAAGCCATGAAAAGACATCATACCGCTCCAATCTTCCTGACCATCCAATTTTGGAAGTTGACTTGCGGCAAAAAAACCACCATGAAACCCATCTGCAGACATGAGCCGCCCTGCCGGAGATGCGCTGCCTACATCTGCCTACCATGAGCGCAGACTGATAGTACCCTGCATATCCCTGCATGATCAAAAAGGCATGCACATGCACCTAATCCTCGTGGTGATGCACTGGATGCTACAACCAAGCCACGCCCAAAGTCCACCTGTAATGACACTTGTATTTACAATTGTTCAAATAGGAAAATGGCAGGGATACCTTATGTAGGTGATGCAAGATCCTCGACTATGTGGTCTGTCCCTCAAGAAAATGGCATCGTCCTCGACTCAATGAACACCTCCATCCTCAGTTTATCTCACCAAGCTGCTGACTTTCGTGGTCGCGTTGGTTGAGTTTGACTTATTCCTCCCATCAGGCACATAGTACTTGGAAAAGTATGTGTCCTGCAAAGGCTGGAGTCAGCTCCCTCGGTTTCGGAAACACAACGAAATGCTTCACCTTGTTCCATACGAACAGTGAAAAGCTTGGTGGGGTTCACCTTACGTTCACCCTTTTTCCATACGAAAAGTGAAAAACCTGAACATTGAAACGGTTCACCTTGTTCCATATAATTCTAGTCAGGGAAAAGCTTAAAGCTTATCCACATATCGGGTAGGCCACAGGAGCTGAGAAGGGAACCGAGACGCTGAACCGGTCCCTTATAGTGAGAAGGCGTCCATTCTCAGTCCCGTCCAGGTGGTTTCCTCTATGGATGTCTCCAAAAAGGATGCAAAGCTCTTTGGAAGTGTCCTACTTGCCGAGACCTATGTACATGCAAAAAAATACATATAATATAGTACATGGTACTATATGACTATATGTATATTCCACCTGAACCATGGCTCTTTCGCTCTCTTTCCCATGCCGCAAAGGTCCTCCGTCCAACTGATGCCGTCTCCGTCCCGTTTGTCAAACGACGACCCGACGCCGACGACGTCGACGCGTGCGCGCTCCCGGTGGTCGTCGTCGCATTCGAAGGTCCACACATCGGTGCCATAGTCCTTGGGCCTGGCGGTCCAGCGACGGAGGAAACGGACCGGAGGAAAGCATAATTGAGTCCGATATCACGAGTCGTAGAAGAATAGTGAGAGGCATTCAGAAGATGAAACATATTGAACAACTCAGGTCCCAAGAATAGAATGAAGGATCTCAGTATATATCTCGGCGTTCATCGGCGTTCCATGGCGTTGTTTTTGAGCACCAATCTGACCTCTGACCTTCTCAGCCGTCTCCAAATCGCCGGAACGGGTCAGAAGAAAGTGCAAATCACTGAGCACCTTCAAGCTCATTCACCAGAATGAGCACCATGTCACAGCCAATAAGGCTGGGGCGGTGCTGGTCTCATCACAGTTTTTTCAGCTATGTGTCTGGTGGAAGACTCACTCATATCATATAAGTCCAATCCCAACATCGAGTACCCACCACTGCGCGGCTCCCTCGTGTGGCACCCTCGGCCAAACCACCCACCTGGCCTCAAAATGATGCTGGCAGCGGACTGTGTGCCTCCAGAATAGCTAAACTCCTGATAGCCTCGGATTGTTTCCGAAAAGGCACGAAGAAAGAGATCAAGGGATGGTTTGGAAGCCAAAATTTTATATGATTTGATGAGTTCTGGATTTCCAGTTCTGAGAGATTTCTCTGTGATGTGCTGTGTCAAGTTCATTCCATGGGGGTTCCAGTGGCTATGGGAAGAACATGGGAAGACGGAGTTTCCACACCTTCAGGGTGGTTTCCACACCTTCAGGGTGGATTCGAGTCTGGCCCAAGCGACGCTTGGCATTCGACCGAGGCCAATGGGGAATTCCGAGGTGTTTCGGCTGGGCTCTTGGTGTGGCGGCAGAAAGGGGTTTCCACCCGCACCCCTTCGGTGCTGGTGCGGGCGTGACACTGTTAACATCGCATTCATCGCTACATGGCTCTTCTCGCTAGGGGAGGAGGGGTGGCCACTTTCGTTACGGAACGAAGATGCATATCAAAGAACACATGAGTTGTGTCTGGGAGAGGAGTGGGAGTGGAAGAAAACATGAACAAAGAACACATGGTTTGAAGCAGACCATCTATGCCTGACCAAATTCCTCATTATCGTATCAGGTCCATGAAAGGCACACAAACGACTCCTCTCAACAGTCTATGCCTCAACATATATTTCATGATTGTCATCATATGCAATAGCTGGCTGCATAGCTTTTTTCCTGATATCATATGCAAAATTTATTACACAATTCAAAAGGCATGAAACATGTCAATTTCAATGGGGTCGAAAAATATATCCAACGATGCTTGCGCGTTGCAAGCCCAACGCAACTAAACAATTTGTAAGAGGGCCCAAACATATAGTGATTATAGATAGTTATTTTACTTTATTCATCCACTTCATGCTGCGTTCATCTCTATGTTTTGTTTCGATCATGCACATTATATGCTTTGTTTGTACATAATCAGTCTATGTTCGATCCCCTTGGAGATGTACAATTTCAAGGGTGTGGCAAAATAGATCCAGCAATGCTTGCAAATTGCCAGTAAAACACAACTAACCATTTTATCAGAGGGTCCCACAATAGAGTGATGATGGAGATTTTTTTTAACCTCTAAGAGCCGATGGTGCGGGCGAGAAGGCATCGCGAAGCGACCCGAATTGTGTTTTATATATATATAAAGATAATAAGTTTATATCTTACATACAATAAGTCTATACTTGAGAAGTGAACCCAAAGAAGGACTTGGTCGACTTGGTCCATGGAACTACACCCCATCGTTTGCAAAGCACACCCGCTATATGGGCATGTTTGGTTCCTTTCCGTTCGCCTTGCGCAAGTCAGTCTATCCACCTCAAACGACCAGTCCAAGAAGTCGTGATCAGTCAGGCATCCTATCAGGTGACTCAACCACTGACTAAACGTCTTGGGCATACTTTCCCGGCACATCGACATGCTCACTAGAGAATCCTCCCGCAAAACAAGAGCCTCGAACCCACTTTTCAAAGTTTTCCGAAAGCAATTGCGTGATGTACCAGGGATATGTATGGATGTGAATGTGTAAAAGCAATTAATACTTCAAGAACCCTAAAGTTTACGCTTCTTACTCTGTTCCAACATGACACTTGCGGTCTACAGCGGATCGGATTAACACGTCCATTTTGCGTGGCAGGTACAGCACGGTCAGATTTCCACACCCGTTTAAATTTATAATATATATATATAAGGCTTTCAGGTGTGGAAATCTGACCGCAACTGAGGTGTCGACATGTTGCACGTAGGATTCTAAGGGGAAAGGGTTTGTGATGTTTTAGAAGTCAAGAAGCGCAACTTTTGGCACCCCAGTGCGTTATTACTAGGTATATTAGCCTTGTGTTTACAATTAATCATGAGAAATCTTGTCAGGTTCGACATTAACGTTGTCCTGTTATAAAGTTCAGACAAAATAGACATATAATCAATTTTATTTAATATGTTTCATTCGAGTTGATCTCAAAATTATGGAACTTATGTTATTTCCAGCACCTTCTTAAAAACACAAACAGCACCCT